GCGTCGTGTGCCCCCCTCGCATGGAGCTGATGGTGTAAAGGAAAACCAGGTGGCCGGGCACCACCAGGAGAAAGAGCACACGAGCAGAGCGCGAGTTCACATCTGTTCGGAAAAAATACATGGTGGGATTAATAGTTTGAAGGGGCCCACGTGCAGAGCAGGCCTGCAGGCTGCTCCCTGGGCACCGGTGACAGGGCAGCATCCCGGGACACAGCCCGGCTGCCAGGGATGCCCGGGACGGCCGCACGGACAGCGCCAACACAGAGCTCCCAAAACCTCCCGACACGGGTTGAGTTGCTCATTCCCGCTTCCACAAAGGAAATCAAGTTGGGAGCTCCAGCTGCACCTTGTCGGGGGTCAGCTGCTAAACTGACCACTAAGCACAACCACTAAATAACAGAGCTGTGCAGAAGCCTTCATTAGGGAAAACTTTCCTGCAGCTCTACAGCAAAAATGCAATATTCAAGCAGCCTGAAGGAAGGTTTCAGTGTCCCACATAGATCTGGAAAAGGTTTGGCAGTGCAGGATGTACAGAATTAGACCTAGCAGGGCACTTCTGCTCTGTGCTTTCCTGCTCCAGCGGGTTCTCTCTCTTGCACAGCAGCTTTGCTTGAAGGCCTGACGGTCTCTAGAGGGCAGCCCAGGCCAGAGAACCAGCTGCATCCCAGAGAGCTGCCTCCAAGCAGATTCCAGGCCCCATTTCCCTTGCCAGCCCTCCCAGACCGTCACCTGCACAGGCCCTGCCAGCCGTTGGCACCAACAGAACAAAACATCTCTCGTCTCCGCACGCACCTGAGCTGAAGAAAGTGCTGCAGGGGCTGGGGCACTTGCGAGGGGCCGTTTCGGGGCTGTCTCCGGGCATCCCGCTCATGTGCAGGTACGTGGAGATGCGGCTGGCCTGCACCGCCACCAGGTTGCCACCAACGCCTGCACAGAAGGAGGGAACAGCGAGAGAAACGGCTCAGAGACGCCCCAAAACGAAAGGCGCCTTCAAAGACCAACACACCTGGACTGGCCAGATGCTGGAATAACGTGGGATAGTATTTCTGACTCAGATTCTACTTTTGGTGCATGTCAAAGGTCAACACAGAACACTAGAGTATCCCTTTAGGGCCCTTAGATGCAATTCTACTTCTGCAGTTTTGATTGGAAAAAAATGTCTGGAAATAAACAACCAAACCACAAAGCCCCACCTGAGCCTAACACCACAACAGACACCGGAGGCTGAAGCTACTTCTGTTTTTGCATGATGCATCAGGAAACTGGAATTAGCTCCCTTTATTGAAAGGCTGCCCATGCAGAAAGGGGGTTACTGGTCCATTAGGCAGAAAGGGATTTGAAAAGTCTCATCTTCTTGGTAACAACCTCCATCAAGGCTGGCACCAGGGGGAGCCACGTAAAGCTCCCATCCAAGCACCATGTCCCACAGATTAGGAGATGTCCCAGAGATTAGGAGAACTGGGCTCCTAATCCCGCCTGAAAGGAGGTCCACGGGACAGGCTCATTGCCTCCAAGAACCTCCAAAAGCTGCAGCAAAGGAACTCACCGTTAATAACGGGTGTGAACACGGCTATCCCAGCAAAGTTTGGATCTGAAACCGTTCTGTCCAAAATTAACCCGCCAACACTGCAGGGGGAAGATGGAAGAGGTCAGTGAAATAACTAATTAACGACTATTTGCTCAGCCAAGGCACTGCACCACCCACGAAGGCGCTCACTGCTGCTGAGCGTCCCCAGGGGCGAGTCCTAACCCATCAACATGTCCCTACCCGTGTGGCCATCACACGTGAGCTCAGCTCTCACAGCTGGGGCACAATCCTGGAGTGCCCATTATGGGATAGCAGAAGGGATTGCAGCAGGAGCTATTCCCATTGCTGCCAAAAAGCCCAAAGACTAAATCCCTCCACATGTACTTTAGTGCAACAGTTTCCAGAGGCAACCCTGCCGTTCAGAGGCAGGTCTCTTGCGAGGAGAACTCCTAAGGGGATGAGGAGCTGGAAGGGGCAGGAGGGCTGCTCCTACCTGCTGATGGCCATGGCGATGATGACGGGCTCCCAGCCGGAGTAGAGCACCTCCCGCGTGGCCGCGTTCCTCCTGGCCACCACGATCCAGAGGGGCAGCAGGGCTATGAAGAAGGCGCACACCAACGGGTTCACGTAGGCTCTGCTCTCTGAGGGGACACGAGGAGAGGCTGCGCGTCAAGGGGATGCCCTGTGACAGGGGGACAAGGTGCCACCATGGCCGAGCTCAGCAGAGCGGCCCTCATCCCTGGAGCCAAAGGGAGCTCCAGCAGAACGGGCAAACCAGCCCAGGCCATCGTCAGCCTCAGGGCTGTGGCATTTCCTCCTCATGAGACACTCGGAGGCACCCACGGCTCCGAGGGAAGCGTCCTCCGCAGTTACCAGCTGCTCATTCCCGCTTCCTGCCCCTGGGCAAGATGTCCCAGGTCGGCCTCACCCTGGCTGGGGCTGGTCCTGCACAGCCCGAGCGTGGGGAAGCAGCGGGAGGCAGGAGGGCAGCTGAGGAGCCCCCCGCTCATCGCTGTGATGAGGAGGACTGAAAGCAAAGCTGCCTCCTCCACCCAGCACGTGGAAAGGGCAGCCTGTCCCCTGAGAGGGGACCTGAGCAGTGTCTATTAACTTAAGGAAAAATGTCTTCCCAGGGAGGGTGCCAGAGCACTGGAACAGGCTGCCCAGAGAGGTTGTGGAGTCTCCTTCTCTGGAGATCTTCAAACCCGCTTGGACGCAGCCCTGTGCCACGTGCTCTAGGTGACCCTGCGTGTGCAGGGGGTTGGACTGGATGACCTCGAGAGGTCCCTTCCAACCTTCAGCATTCTGTGATTCTATGATTCTCCCTTACCGTTTTACCTGTTAAGAACGTTTGCAAATCACTGCCAAGGCTGCCTGCAGCCCCAAGGCAGTAAGAAGGTCCATTTCCTCCCCTCACCGGGCCCGACTCGGACTTGGTAAGTGAGGCAGCTGCAGGCCAGGCATCCTATACACCCCGAGAGCAGTCAGGATGAAAGACCAGGGCAAGGGAGAAGCTGCAGCACATGGAAGGCCCTGGGGGAGACAAGAGCCTTTTGCTGCTCCTCACCCAGCTCTTTGTACAGGCCCCAGCTGATTCCCGAGAGCAGAGCCAGCGTGATGAGGTCCCCCAGGCTGGCAGCGATTGGGGTGGCCACGTTGTCAGGATTGATCCCCATCTTCCTGGATCCGATGATGACCCCAATCATGATCATGCCTGTAGGCAAAAAGAGGAAGAAAACGGGATGAAGCCGAGGAGAGCCAATTTTGGAGGAGGTAACGCAGAGGGTGCGCAGGGCCTCTCTTACCCAGAACAAGGGAAGCAATGAAAGCAGTCGCCACGCTGCTGGCACAAAGCAGGACAGCGTGGTCAATGCTGAAGTGGCCATCAGGGATCCATCCAAATATCACTGCTGCGATGGAGGCCAGGAAGCCAACCACCGTAGCCTGAACCTGCAGGCACAAGAAGCAGGCAGTCACCAAGGGGACACAGCAAAAGGGTCCCAGGGCCGGCCAGGAGGGCAGCACCACCCAGGGTGGCATCCCAGGGGATCAGCATGGGACAGGGGGACATCCAGGCTCACCTACGGGACAAACCTCTTTGGAAAGATGGTTGTGGGACAAAAAGTTGCCGTTTTCCTCCCCACTAGCCATGCAATAACTAAACGCAGGTATTTTTGCCCTTTGCCACTCCTCAGAAGGGGTCTCACCGCTATTCCCGCTTTCCTCTCCCTTTCTTACCTGTATCAGAGCCATGTTCCCTGTTATCATCTTCCAGAGCTCTTTGGGTGTGTCCATTTGGCCAATATTAGCCTGCAAGAGGATACCACAGTATCACTATGTACTTAAAAGATCGATATCATTTTGTATTCACTGACAGCCCCAAATCCTGCCTTTCTCCAACGCGAGTCCGTCGGAAGCAGGAGAGAATGAGGAGCTCAAGCCCTGAGCACCTACAGGAACGTTCTGGCAGAAGAGGGGCACAGCCTGGGACTTGTGCGTGTCACTTGGGTGACACGGGGGACAGGGCAGACGAGCCAGGCAGGATCCGTCCCCTCCGGCTGAACGGGAAGCAGCCAAACTCCGGCACTAGCAGGAAGACGCTCTCCATCCTCGTGCACTATCGTGCCCTGCTGCTTATTTACCCACTGGTGCCCAGGCCAAACCTGGCTGGGGCCCAGGCGCGTCACTGTCCCCAAGGGAAGCAGGGACCTGCGTGTCCCCAGCCCCAGCAAGGCCGGGGGACATCACGTGGCACCCGGAGCTGGCACCAAGCGCGAGCGTTTCAAGGGAGAGTTGAGTAAACAAAGTTAATGCCACGTAGGGACCCGCGGAGCAGCAGGGAGCCGCCGCGGCGCACGGGTCATCGGGCACCGCCGGGGCTGCGGGACTAATCAAACCAACCAGAACACGTGGAAAGTTACTTGAATTCCTTGGCTCACGACCGAGGTGGGAGAAAAAAATAAGGCAGCCGAATCACCGCGAGTTGCTGGTTAACAGGGAGCGTAAAGGTTCTGCTCTCAGCTGCTTTATGGAAACAGGGAGAGAATGGATAGGTGTAAGACTGGATACGACTTGTAGTATTAGAGCTGATGATGTGAAGCAGCAGCAAATTTGTCACCCAGGAATCGTGAGGAAGAGGCTCCAGAAACCCAAACGGGTGCCATGACCCAGGCGGCCGCCCCAGTGCCAAACTCGGAACGTGCAGACTCCTCCTTCCCTCTTCCAACCCCTCTGCTGAACAACCCAGCAGCAATTCCTGCCTCTTGGGTTTCCCTTCTGATCCCTGCGGGACTAAACAGCCCATCTGCCCCCAGCGCACGTGCGTTTGGGGGAGCACCAGGCGCCACCAGCATCTCCGGGGGGAATTTCTCTGGTGAGCTCCGTGGGAAGGAGGAAAGAGCAGGAGGACCTGTGAGGAGTCGGCTGCGGAGCAGAATTCACCACATTCATCCCAGGAATTTGAGCTCCATATGAAGCCTGACCTTAAAATTCCTGCCTCTCGGCAATTAGGTTGGGATTAACATGACCCAGCTGTAGTTGTGGGCAACAAGATCTTAATCCTTCCCCTAATGGGAGAGTTTTGCTCCTTAATTGTGAAAGGAAGGTTTGAGGTGCCTCAACGCGGCACTAATCCGGGCGCCCCGGTGCGGGACAGCATTCCAGGCTGTGTCCCGCGGCGCGGGCACGTGGAGCACAGCGGGAAGCAGCAGGGAGAGGAGGCCGCGCTCCTCCCGCACGTGTCCCCTGCGGGAGACAGGGATGGACACCCAGGGGGTCGCTGCATCCCGCCGGACCCGCAGCCCG